AATCAGTTATGAGCTTGTATTCTTCCTGTAATAGAAAGAGCATGGGCTTGGAAATCAGGCAAAGCTGGATGCAAATCCTGACTCTACAGTCCTGGCTATGTGACCTTGGGCAAGTTAATTAACCTTTCTGAGCATCGTTTGCCTCAACTATAATGTGTGTGTCTATCTTACAGGGCTCTGGCTTGACTTCATTATTTACTGATGCATAATAATGAAGTCAAGCAAGAGCCCTGCGTTGTTTTTGAAATTCTGGTAAGATACATAAAACATAAAATTTGCTATTTTTACCACTTTTTACAAATTTTATTGTGTTTTAGGTGAAAGTTTACAGTGCAGATTAGTTTCTCATTCAAAATTTTATGCACAGACTGTTTTGTGACAAAGGTTGCAATCCCTGCAATGTGTCAGCACTCTCCCCCTTTCCACCCAGGTTCCCCGTGTCCATTCGTCCAGTTTTCCTCTCCCTTCCTGCCTTCTTCTCTTTGCTTTTGAACAGATGTTGCCCATTTGGTCTTCTGTACTTGACTGAACTAAGAAGCATGTTCCCCACATGTGTTACTGTTTGTTTAATAGGCCTGTCGAATCTTTGGCTGAAAGGTGGACTTTGGGAGGTTTCAGTTCTGAGTTAGCTGAGTGTCAGGTGGCCATAGTCTCAGGTTCCTCTAGTCTCTGTCAGACCAGTAAGTCTGGTCTGTTTTTCTGAATGTGAATTTTGTTCTACACTTTTCTCCCTCTCTGTCCAGGACCCTCTGTTGTGATCCCTGTCAGAGCCGTTGGTGGTGGTAGCTGGGCCCCATCTAGTTCTTCTGGGCTCAGGTTGGTGGAGGCTATGGTTCATGTGGTCCGTTAGTCCCTGCGACTAATATTTTCCTTGTGTCTTTTTTTTTTTTAAATCTCCAGACAGGATGGGGCCAATACATTTATCTTAGATTTACGCTTGCAAGTTTTTAAGACCCCAGATGCTACTCATCAGAGTAGGATGTCGAATATTTTCTTCATGAACTGTGTTATGCCAATTGACCTAGATGTCCCCTGAGACCATGGTCCCCAGCACTCAGCCCCAGTAACTTGGTCCCTCAGGTGTTTGGATGTGTCTAGGAAGCTTCCATGACTTTGCCTTGGTCAACTTGTGCTGACTTCTCCTGTATTGTGTGTTGTCTTTCCCTTCACCAGAGTTAACACTTGTCTGCTATCTATAGTGATTTCTCCTCCCAACACCTCACCTCCCTTGTAACTGTCAAAAAAAGTATTATTTTTCTGTGTGTAAACCTTTTCTTGGATTTTTATAATAATGGTCTCATACAATGTTGGTCCTTTTGTGATTGACTTATTTCACTCAACATAGTGCCCTCCAGATTCATCCATGTTGTGAGATGTTTTGTGATTCATCATTGCTCTTTATCATTCTGCAGTATTCCATTGTGTGTATGTACCATAATTTGTTTATCCATTCACCTGTTGATGGGCAGTTACGTTGTTTCTGTCTTTTTGCTATTGTGAATAACGCTGCAATGAGCATAGGTATGTATATGTCTATTTGTGTGACGGCTCTTATTTCTCTAGGATCTATTCCTAGGAGTGGGATTGCTGGATCATATGGTATTTCTGTTTCTAGCTTTTCAAGGAGATGCTATATCCCTTTCCATAGTGGTTGTACCATTTTACATTCCCACTAGCAATGCATAAGAATTCCTATATCCCCACAACGTCTCCAACATTTATTATTTTCTGTTTTTTCTTGATTTGTGCCGGTAATGTTGGGGTAAGATGGTATCTCATTGTAGTTGTGATTTGCATTTCTTTAATGGCTAATGATCACGATCATTTCCTCATGTGTCTGTTAGCTGCCTGAATGTCTTCTTTGGTGAAGTGTCTGTTCATATCCTGTTCCCATTTTTAATTGGATTATTTGTCTTTTTGTTGTTGAGGTGTTGAAGTATTTTATAGATTTTAGAGATTAGACCCTTGTCAGATATGTTGTAGCCAATTTTTTTTTCCCAATCCGTAGGTTCTCTTTTTACTCTCTTTGTGAAGTCCGTTGATGAGCCAAAGTGTTTAGTTTTTAGGAGTTCCCGGTTATCTAGTTTATCTTCTGGTGTTTGTGCATTGTTAGTTATTGTTTGTATTGTATTTATGCCACGTATTAGGACCCCTAGTGTTGTCCATATTTTTTCTTCCATGGTCTTTATCATTTAGGTTTTATATTTAGGTCTTTGATCCATTTTGAGTTAGTTTTTGTATATGGTGTGAGGTATGGATCCTGTTTTATTTTTTTTACAGATGGACATCCACTTTAGCCAGCACCATTTGTTAAAAAGACTGTCTTTTCCTTATTTAACAAACTTTTGTCCCTTGTCCAAAGACCAGCTGACCTATTGGTGGATGGATTTATGTCTGGGTTCTTGATTCTGTTCTGTTGGTCTACGTGTCTGTCATTGTACCAGTACCAGGCTCTTTTGAATGCCATGGCTGTATAGTAGATTCTGAGATCAGGTAGTGTGAGACCTTCTACTTTGTTCTTTTTCTTCAGTAATGCTTTGCTTATGTGGATCCTCATTCCTTTCCATATAAAGTTGGTGATTAGTTTTTCCATTTCATTAAAGAATGCTATTGGTATTTGGATCAGGATTGCATTATATCTGTAGATCATTTTGGGTAGAATTGACATTTTCATAGTGTTGATTCTTCTTATCCATGAGCATGGTATGCTTTTCCATTTATATAGTCTGTTTTGGTTACTTGCAGTAGTGTTTTGTATTTTTCTTTGTATAGGTCTTTTACGTCCCTGGTTAGATTTATTCCTAAGTATTTTATCTTTTTAGGGGCTATTATAAATGGTATTGTTTTCCTGATTTCCTTTTCGAAGTTCTCTTTGTTAGTATATAGGAATCCAACTGATTTTTTTTTATGTTTATTTTGTATCCTGCTTCTCTGCTGAATCTTTCTGTTAGTTCCAGTAGTTTTCTTGTGGAATCTTTGGAGTTCTCTATGTATAGTATTATATCATCTGTGAATATGGATAGTTTTACTTCTTCGTTTCCAATTTGGATGCCCTTTATTTATTTTTCTTGTGTTATTGCTCTAGCTACGACTTTCAGCACAGTGTTAAATAGGAGTGATGATGAATGGCATCCTTATCTTGTTCCCGTTCTCAAAGGGAATGCTTTCAGCCTCTCTCCATTGAGAATGATGTTGGCTATTGGTTTTGTCTAGATACCCTTTATTATGTTGAGGAATTTCCCTTCTATTCCTATTTTATTGAGAGTTTTTATCAGAAACGTGTGTTGGACTTTATCAAATGCCTTTTCTGCATTGATTGAAATGATCATGTGATTTATTGTAACCGTTTTAAAGTGACAATTCAGTGACATTAATTAATTCAAAATGTTCTGCAACCTTCACCATTATTTCCAAAACTTTTCATCACCCCAAACAGAAATTTAGTACCCATTAAGCAATAATTTCCCATTCTCCTGAACTGCCCTATCCTCAGTCACCTGGTAACCACTAGTAAACTTTGGTCTCTATGCATTTGCCTATTCTAGATATTTCATATAAGTGGGATCATACAATATTTGTCCTTTTTTTTCTGACTTCACTCAGCATAATGTTTTCAAGGTTCAGTTATGTTGTAACATATCAGAACTTCATTTCTCTTTATGGCTTAATAATACAAGAGCCTTGGATTTTTGAGACGTGTGTATCGAGAACTACTGTGTGCTGGGCACTGTGATGGCACTGGGGGGTCCTGTGGTGAACTGTCGCTCTGTTTTTAGTCTACTGGGTGTTTCACTTATCTGTTGCTGTGTAATAAATCACTCAAAACTTCATGTCTTAAAACAGCAAGGATTATTTCTCACAATGGAGTAGGTTGGCTGGGTGGTTCTTCCACTGGTCTCACTGGAGGGTTGGCTGGGGCTGGGCTCAGCTGGGACAGCTGAGCATCTCTCTCTATGTGGGCTTCTGTCCTCGAAGAGGGCAGACCGGGTTCCTCACATGGTGGTGTCAGGGTTCCCAGAGGGCAAGAGTGGAGACTGCAAAGCATCTTGCACCCTGGGCTCAGAAGTCACACAACAGTGATTTCAGTTTATCCCATTGACCCAAGTAAGTCACTAGACCAGCCCAGATTCCAGGGGTGGGGAAACCGAGTGCACCTCTGGGTATTAGGAGTGGCAGGGAATGTGTGGGCACATTTAGTCTACTGCAGTGGGGAGTCAAAAAATCAATACAGGTAAATAAGCAAATAAGTGATTAAAAAGTCACTTCATATGTTTGTGAAGGACAAATGCAGCTGAGATAGAGACTAAGGAGAGGAAGAGGGTAGGTCTTCTTATACAGATCAATCAGGAAAGACCTTCCTGAGGAGTTGACATTTGAACTGAGCCCAGAGGACGAGACAGGGCCTGCCACGCCAAGGACCAGGGAGGGCATTCCCACAGTGGGAACAGCCTGAGCAGAGGTCCTCAGATGGGAAAGCACTTGTTTGAGGGATTAGAAGCTGCCTGGCTGCTGGAAAGTGCCTGGAAGTTTAATTGAGATAATCTGAGCGATGCCCTAAAAACCATGGCTGACATGTAACAGGGCTGAATTTATATTAGTTTCTTTTCTTCTAGAAAATGAAAGATAAAAATATGTTTATGTCAAGATGAGACAGGAATCCACTTCATTAGATGAATGAATCTAATTCATTAGATGGGAATCTAATATGAATTTTTCTGTATAAGGCTCAATTTGGAAAAAAAAATGTTTTTATAGGGGTAGATGTTGAAAGATTATAGCTGTTTTGCAAACAAACACCCACCCCTAGATGTTTCTTAATGGTATCTCTGACTTTTCCTGAATATTGTTTGATTTCCCTTTAAGATAGTCTCCTGGGTGAAGAATGTTTACAAGCCAGAGATTATTCCTAGTCTATGTCCCCTAGTTCTACTGGGGAAGGGAGGGATTCACAAAGGAATGAAGAGTAGAGATCTTCTCTGAAAGTTTTTTCTCCTTTGCAGGTTGTGAATGTGACTTGGACGGTGTTCTTCCTGAAATATGTGATGCCCGTGGAAGGTGTCTCTGCCGCCCTGGGGTGGAGGGCTCTCGATGTGATACCTGTCGCTTAGGTTTCTACTCATTCCCTATATGCCAAGGTAAGCGGGCAAAACATAGTTGTTAGCTGCTATTGAGTTTGCTCCGACTCATGGCGACCCCATACACAGTAATGAAATGTTGTCCTGTCCTACAGCATCCCCATGATTGGTTGCGGATTGGACTGTTGTGATCATAGGAATTTCATTGGCTGATTTTCAGAAGTAGATTGCCAGACCTTTCTTCCTAGTCTGTCTTAGTCTGGAAGCTCCACTGAAACCTGCTTAGCGTCATAGCTACATGTAAGCCTCCACTAACAGATGGGTGGTGGCTGCACATGAGGTGCACTGGTAGGAAATCAAACCCAAGTCTCCCTCCTGGAAGCCAGGAATTCTACCACTGAACCACAAATGCCCCAGGTAAAACATAGCATACTGATAATTAGTCCTTCAAGATAAATTCCCTCCTGAGGAATTGGAGAGGACCTTTCTGGCAGAGCTGTGTGACCTGCAGTTTAATAATTAGCCCTTAGCTTATGTTTGTGTAGCTCCCCTCCTAGCTGGACCGTGTCAACCTCCCTTCCTTTGCCTTCCATTCCTACCCTTCCTGCTCCCTGATAGTTAAGCTCATAAGCTCTGGCTCAGCTTTCCAGGTTCCAGTCCTGGCTTGGAGAGGAGCTGGTATCTGAACACTTTAGGAGCCTACCAGGTGTATATGAGAAGGAGCATGGCATCTTGGGGGAGGGAGCAGCATATACAAATCCACAAAGACACAAAGCCTCTCTGTCTGCTTTATTTCTCATCCTAATATAAGCCCCTGAAACAAATGGAGAGAGGGGAGGGGGAAGTGTCTGGCCCATTCCCTACAGCATAATAGATATGCAGTAAACATTTGGTGAATGAACAAATTTTCCCAAGTTCTCCCCGTCTCCTCCCGACTGGCTGCCATTTTTTCTTTCCTCAGCTGCTAATGGAAAAGGAGGGAGAAGAGGAAGAGATGCTTATCAGTCAGGACTCACTGTAGGAAATAAACACCACTCCAGTATTATAAACAGAAAAGGACTTACTGTCAGTAATTAGGTGTAAGTTGTTAAGGGCTGGAGCCAGCGGACTCTAGGCTGACTTCCAAGGAAGCCTTCAAGAGAACTGCAGCATTTTCAGAACAGACTGCTGTGGCTGCAGCCCAAGGATAGGAAGACCTGCTGCTGCCTCCATGACCATCTCTGGGCACCCAGGAAGCTAGAGACAAAGGTGCAGCTGCAGAAATGGTCAGCAAGGAGCAGGGAGGCAGCCTCCCCCTTACTTGCTAACACCAATTTGCAAAACCCAGTTGGCATCCAGAACCCAGCTCCAAGAGAATCAGTGAAGTGTTGTTTTTAGCTTTCCAACCTCTGTAGACAAGAGGAGGTTAGAAGAGGTATTGGGCAAACCCATCCACAAGATCAGCCACACTAAGGAACTGTGAGTGTGGGATGGGAGCAGGAAAAACACATCCCTTAGGTGGATGAAAAAGGAATGAAGAGCAAGGGCCACACAAGCTGTTAACTTGGTCAGTTGTTTAACCCCTCTGCTCCTCAGTTTTCTTCTCTGCTAAACAGGGATGTAGTAATAGCATTCACCTCAGAACATTGTTTTGAGGGTCACATGTGTACTGACACATAAAGCTCTTAGAGCCTAGCAAGCACTTGGTTCTACCTTAGTTATTGTTAGTTTACCGCTGTTCTTCTGTCCCATACTTCCTTCTACCTCGTTTTACAATTCTGTAACACAATCCCAGTTCATCTCCCTGTTCGCTTAGATGTCTGAATGCCAAATCCTTCCTTTCACCTGACCCACTGGTGTGCCCTGTTCATGGACCTCTCTCCTCTGCCCCCATTTCTCAGCCTTAGCCTCTCTGGAGCCATAGAATCTCATAAGTCTCTGCCCAGGGTTTTGGTTACTTGCCAGGTGGAGGGTAAGGACAAGAAAGGGGTATCTTTTCTTTCTCTGCCTTGACTGTAATAAGAGAAATGCAGTATCAAAGTTGGAATTTCTAATGCATTTTCTTTGAAAACATCAGTACAGGCTACATCCTCTCAGCAGTGACCAGAGAGGGAAAATCCAAGCTTGTAGTCCCTGCCTGTGCATGGGGTCAAAAAAAAAAAAATCTTTTTGAATTGCTATGACAGCCTCCAAGCCACACACAGCCAGTGGTAAAGAGTAAAAATTTAACTGGCCAAGGAGGCTTAAGTACAACCTTCCACCAATAAGGGTCTTGTACTGACCCAGGAATGACCCTGAAATAGCCAAGATAAAAGATAAAAACAATAGGAAAAATATGAGCAGGAACATCAGAGGCTGAACATTGCAGGGGAAATGAGCTTTACAGAATTAGTTCACCCAAGTCACTAAAGAAATAAACAAATTACCGAATGAATTAATAACAACAACCCCAGAAAGAGGTTATCAGTTGCCAGAGTTGCTGCAATGTATTATGTAAAATGTCCAGATTTCAACTAAAAAGAACGACACATGCAAAGAAATAGAAGTATGACCCATATACAGGAAAAAAAAAAAAAAAAGCAGGTAATAGAGAATATGCAGTCTGAAGAACAGAGTAAAAAAAGAATCAAGCTAAATGAATAGAGACTGAGAGAGATATGGGATATCATTGCGTACACCAACATATGCATAATGGGAATACCAGAAGGAGAGCAAAAAGAGAAAAGATAGAAAAAATAGTCCAAGAAATAATGGCTGAAACTTCCCAAATTTGATAAAAAACAATCTGTACACCCAAGAACTCCAAGAAGGGTAAGTACAAAGAGACCCACACTGCGAGCAGACTCACCTTACAGAAAATACTAAAGGAAGTTCTTCAGGCTGAAAACAAATGAGACCAGACAGTAATTTGAACTAGTATGAAAAAACAAAGAGTGTTGGTAATGGTAATTATTTAGGTAACTACAGAAGATGTTCAACCATTTTGGGAGGTCGCATAGGATCAGGAACCGATGATACTGAAAAGAGGTCCAAGCCACACTAAAGACATTGACAAAAAACAAGGCTCCAGGATTTGACAGAATACCAATGGAGATGTTTCAACAAACGAATGCAGTGCTGGAAGTGCTCACTCGTCTATGCGAAGAAATTTGGAAGACAGCTACCTGACCAACTGACTGGAAGAGATCCATATTTACCCCTTTTCCAAAGAAAGGTGATCCAACTGAATGCGGAAATTATTGAACAATATCATTAATATCACAGGCAAATAAAATTTTGCTGAAGATCATTCAAAAACAGCTGCAGCAGTATATTGACAAGGAACTGCTAGAAATTCAAGCTGGATTCAGAAGAGGACATGGAATCAAGGATATCATTACTGATGCCAGATGGATCCTGGCTGAAAGCAGAGAATACCGGAAAGATGTTTACCTGTGTTTTATTGACTATGCAAAGGCATTCAACTGTGTGGATCATAACAAATTATGGATAACATTGCAAAGAATGGGGATTCCAGAACATTAAATTGTGCTCATGAGGAACCTGTACATAGATCAGGGGGATACAGAACAAGAGGATACTGCGTGGTTTAAAGTCAGGAAAGGTGTGTGTCAGGGTTGTATCCTTTCACCGTACTTATTCAATCTGTATGCTGAGCAAATAATCAGAGAAGCTGGACTATATGAAGACGAACAGGGCATCAGGATTGGAGGAAGACTCATTAACAACCTGTGATGTGCAGATAACACAGCCTTGCTTGCTGAAAGTGAAGAGGCCTTGAAACACTTACTGATGAAGATCAAAGACCATAGCCTTCAGTATGGATTACACCTCAACATAAAGAAGACCAAAATCCTCACAACTGGGCCAATAAGCAACATCTGATAAATGGAGAAAAGATTGAAATTGTCAAGGATTTCATTTTCCTTGGATCCGCAATCAATACCCATGGAAGCAGCAGTCAAGGGATCAAACGACACATTGTGTTGGGCAAATCTGATGCAAAAGACCTCTTTAAAATGTTAAACAAACATGTCACTTCAAGGACAAAGGTGCACCTGACCCAAGCCATGGTATTTTTCAATCGCCTCATATTCATGCAAAAGCTGGACAATGAATAAGGAAGACAAAGAAAAATTGACACCTTTAAATTATGGTGTTGGTGAAAAATATTGAATATACCATGGACTGCGAAGAGAACGAACAAATCTGTCTTGGAAGAAGTACAGCCAAAATGCTCCTTAGAAGCTAGGATGATGAGACTTCATCTCACGTACTTTGGATGTGTTATCAGGAGGAACCAGTTCCTGGAGAAGGACATCATGCTTGGTATAGTAGAAGGTCAGTGAAAAAGAGGAAGACCCTCAACGAGATGAATTAACACAGTGTGTGCAACAATGGGCTTAAACGTAACGATTGTGAGGATGGCGCAGGACTGGTCAGTGTTTTGTTCTGTTGTACATAGGCTCGCTATGAGTTGGAACTGACTCGATGGCACCTAACAACAACACAAAAGACAGTATAATTGCATATTTATTCTTCTTTCTTCTTCACTGATTTTTGAAAGAAATTGCATAAAGCAGTACACACACACATACCATTGCATTATAGGGCCTATAACATACAGAACTGTAATATATTTGATGATAAAAGCACAAAGGACATGAGTGACAACAAAGCTGTATTGCAATAAGGAAATGACATTTGATGGTAACTCAAATCCTCAGGAAGAAACGAAAGGATAAATAAGAAGGTTTATATTAAATACTCTATAAATATACTTTCTCTCCTTTCTTCTACTAAGAAGACTTGTTGTTAGGTACCGTCGAGTCAGTTCTGACTCATAGTGATCCTAGGTGCAATAGAATGAAACATGGCCTGGTCCTGTGCCATCCTAACAATCGTTGCTATGTTTGAGCCCATTGTTGCAGCCACTGTGTCAAACCATCTCACTGAGGGTCTTCCTCTTTTTCATTGACCGTCTACTTTACCAAGCATGATATCCTTCTGCAGGGACTGGTCCCTCCTGATAACATGTCCAAAGTATGTGAGATGAAGTCTCGTCATCCAATGAGGAAGAC